AACTGTCTTCAATCCAGAAACAAATAAATGATATTTAGGTTCAAGGTATTTACTTGGTAACTAAAAGCCTAAAGAAACATGCAACTTCTTTTCCTTTGAGGATGAATAAAGCCTTTTTACTTTTTTTTTTTTTTAGCCTTTTTACTTTTTCAAGCAAATGTCACTTTAGTAGTTTTAGGTTGATTCATATTTGCAGGATTGGAAATGAATTTTGTAAGAATTTGTATTGGAGATATTATAATGAAAAAGAACACATGCATAATCAGTCCAGAAAAAGTAGGCTGTATATTTTTAATGGAATATTAGATATTAAGATAATGTATTAAACAAAAAGCCTGACCTTTTAATTTTGGTTAAAGGTTTCATAAAATAGGGAAATTAAATCTAAAATGGATTCAAATACATTTTTATTTAGACAGTATGGAAGGGATCATATAGGTACTTTTGAGATTGGGTCAAGAGAAAGTTAAGAAAAAGTCATCCTTTGAGAAGGCTGAAAAGAAAAGAATAAATGAACATATTATTGTGCAGCAGCAGCCCTCACAGAAGATGGTTTGTAGATATATTGCTGATGGGGTTTTTTAAAGCATCCAAATCCAGTCAAAGTGACCAGGGAATGTCCCAAGGATATCCCAAGAAATGCAAAAGGAAACTAGACCTCAGTGAGTAGCACTGTATCCAGCTGACATAGCCTTTAGGCATCTTGGCTGAAGACCTCCTTTTATGAGAATGGTTTTATCAGACAGTTGTCATGTGTTGACACTACGCACCAAGAAGAGATAGCTATACTTGTTCTGATTTCATGGCCACTGGGAAATATTTTAAAATAATTTGCCTTCTTTTGTAGACTATAGTGATAGAAATGTACTAACCCCAAAACATAAATCTTTTTGGCGTTTATACCTCACTTTAGTTGGTATTCTTGCTTTTAGCTGGTTGCCTTAGCCTGACTACTTCTGAGAGCATTAACGGACTCAGGTTTCTAGACCTACAATACTAAGAACTAGACCTAGACCCTAAACTTGGTCATTTTGAAAGTAAGCGCTACATGCCATGAGACATAGCCTCTGTAGCTAGCTGGTTTCTTCCGTGATGGATCAATGTCAGAGGTAGGAATAACAACCGTCTTTCCTGACACCTGGCATATGTTCTATATATTATACCACCGGTTATTTCTTAGAGAATGCATTTCTAGCTACAGTTATTTGGGGCATATATCTTTTCAAGAAAGTACGAATTGCCTACTCTGAATTTTCCATTTTTCTTTTTCTAGAGCTCTCACCTTGGAGATGGTATGGTTGTGTCATCAATATCTTTGAAAATGAGATTAAAGGGATTGCTTGCTTACCTTCTGCAGTTTTCATGCCTTTCTCTGAATCCTATTAGTCCATCCAGTTTGGTTGTAGTGGAAATTGAAGTTTGCCTATTGATGTAAGGATCCTTATCTCGTTCAGTTTCTACAGACTTTAAATACCAGAAATATTGTGTATAAGTTGGATTTTTAAAAGTTCAAGGGAGTATATCCAGAAATGGTGTTTTTATGCTATTTTATGATAGCTTGATTCTCCTCCCCAAAAACACAAGTGTGAAAATAGATTTCTATATAAATTTTAAGTCATTAATTCAAAATTGTATAATGTGCATATTACCTTATTTATGAAGCTTTTTGGTAGCATTTAAAGTTAGCTTTAATTTTTCAATATTATTTACACCTTTGTCTGAACTAGTATTTATACTCAAACAGAACTCTATGCAATTATTTATGTCTCAACTCCTTAAGAAAGTTTAAAATTGGACAATCTATTTAGGATAATATCACCGTAACAGAGAAAATATAGTGTGGCGTGAGTAAAATTATTAACAATGGCATTAATATGAAAATAAACTTGAAGATAATAATTATTGATGACAAATGGTGACCAACAAAATGATTTTAGCTGCAATAGACAATTTGTGGAGTAAGCATAGAATGCTGTTAAGATAACATCTCTTCAATTACACTGAAGTGTATAAAGGCATTTACTCTGTTTAACTCCCAAATGGTCCTAAGTATATGCTAGGAAACAATCATGAATTTTAAAAACACTTCTGTGTCAATGGGCAATCCTGCTATTGATCAAATAATACAGCAATGTAATTTGAGTCTACTTAAAAAGTAACCTATATACATATAAAAATAACATATATACAACATAGAAAAATAAAATAAAGGCCCCCATTAGAAAAAAGTGGATAGATTTACCAAATTTTAAAATGGAGTGTTCCTTAAATAAAGTCAATCATTATCTCAGCAAATGAGGAGGTTTCATTTCCACCCATGAGTTAGACATTATAGAACTGCCATGACTCTGTTATGTTTTGATGACATGTTTAAAGAGGCTCTTCTGTGTTTAACAGGCCACTAGTGACTCCTTATTTATTTACTTACTTATTTATTTTTTATGATAGTCACACACACAGAGAGAGAGAGGCAGAGACACAGGCAGAGGGAGAAGCAGACTCCATGCACCGGGAGCCCGACGTGGGATTCGATCCCGGGTCTCCAGGATCGCGTCCTGGGCCAAAGGCAGGCGCTAAACTGCTGCGCCACCCAGGGATCCCTAGTGACTCCTTTCTAACAATAAGCCATCCTTACCTCTCTGGTCAACATTAACTTTGCCATTTAGTTTGCTAGATTCAACTGAATTATAAGTAAAAAAATGCCTAGTAATCATCAGTGTTCCAAAATCCATTGTTCACAATGGACCCTTGGTAACATTGCAATACTCAACAATGTGGCTATTTCATTTTAATCTGCAGCTGTTCAAATAAAAGAGATTTACTACAACAGCTTTTCAAAAATTCTGTAATAAGTGTACCAATGCTTACACTGCTTATATTTCCATATAATTTGAATAACAGTATCGTTTAAAACAGATGTCAGCTTCTTTGAATGTAATCATACGTTGTTGTCAGCAGTACGCACCCATAGATTTACATTTAAGTAACCCAGGATGGGGTTTTCTGCCTGTGCACCTTCATTGGTGCATTTTTTTTTACCTTATTTAAACCTTGCCCATGAAAACAGTGTTTCTCTTTTCATCCAAGCAAGCCAAATATATTCAATAAACACATTATAATAATGTTTCCCCAAAAACGTGAAGACAAGGTGATGTAAATTCACTCCATTTGGATTTCAATCCAGCTTTTTAAAATTTTGTATAATATTAACATTGATTTTTCTAAGGGGTGGGTAGAACCAGAAGTGCTTTTAACTCTTCCTGTTCTGGGAACATTTTGATGTTTATATCACTAATACTTATATCTTTAATGATAAACACTACCGGGCAGGCAAGACTAGGGTTATACTGCGGTAATCCAAGCACTGTCCTTTCCCCAAAATGTTATCTGTGCACGCATAAGTAGCAGGGAGGGGGAATTCTCATCCAACCACTGGGTTCCACTCTAATTTCATGCAGTCAGGTGAGTAAGTATGTCAAGATAGTAGTATCCTGATGTGTGTGCCTGTTGTCTCAAAAATATATCACAACTCCAGGAAGTCTTCAGCATAAACCTGTTAAATGGGATGAAAAAAGCACACCACTTCAATAGATCTGTTTTAAATGTTCTCTCTTTGCTGATGCCTTCTGCCTCCTTTTGTCTCTTTGCCCCAAATCTTTTTTTTTAAAAAGATTTTACTTATTTATTCATGAGAGATACAGAGAGAGACAGAGACATAGGCAGAGACAGAAGCAGGCTCCCTGCAGAGAGCCCCATGCAGGACTCAATCCTAGGACCCAGGAATCCTAGGACCTGAGCCAAAGGCAGATGCTCAACTGCCAAGCCACCCAGGCAACCGGCCTCAAATCTTTTTCTTAATTGATTAGAGCATAGAACCCAGTTTGTGTGTGTGTGTGTGTGTGTGTATACTTATAAATTTCTAGGATCATGGTTCCTAATTCAAAAACTGCATTAGCAGAGGGTTTTACATTTCTTTCTTCAGTTAACATTATGTTTGTGACCAAAGGACCAGTCTTCACCTGAAAAACCAAAGTTTTAGTTGTGCCTTTATGATAGTCAACAACAAAAGATCATTTGGGAAATTATCATGGTTAATTATGTTAAAGTACTGCATTTCTTGCTGTAATCAGCAAACTAATATTTATTTTGTACCTAACAGCTCTTATTTGCATACTAGGCACCTCCACGAAGGAAAATTACATTAAAAGTCACAAAAAAAAAAAAAAAGGTCTTCGATTGCCAGCTTTTAAATATAAGCCAAAAATGAATGAATGGATGGATGGATGGATGGATGGATGCTTGCGTGCGTGCCAAAAGGAACGAATTAGTAAGTCTCCCTGCACCCCGCCCGCCCGGCGGCAGCAAGGCTCCGGGAAAGCCTGAAGCCCGGCGGTAGGACTGTAAGCTCCGTGAGGGCAGCAACTCCTCGGCTCCGGTTTCCTACCCAATCCGCAGCAGCTAGAACACGGTCAGGAAACAATTTGTCCTCGACACTTGCAAAGAATATTCTTTTATTTTGAAGCGGTGTCGGCGGCCGGGTGTGTAGCGGAGTGGAGAGCGGGAAAGGGGCAGCGGAGGGGAGGTCGCCAGGTCGCAAGGAGCCGCAGGACAGCGAGGGGTCCGGGGGCGAGAGAGCCCGCGCGAGGTGAACCGTCCGCGCGGGGAGGGAGCAGGGACCAGCGCCCCGGGACCCCGCCGCGCCCGTGGGGAGGGGCCCCGCGGGACGCCGCCGGGACCGGGGAGCCCTCCCCAGGGAGCAAAGGAGAGGAAGCCGCAGCCACCTCCCGCCCACGTGGGAGCCCGCCGGCCGCCCCGCGTCCCCCCCGCGCCCCCCCCGCGCCCCCCCGCGCCCCCGGGGAGCGGAGCCCGGAGCGAGGCAGGTGCGGCGGGAGCATGCGCGCGGGCCGGCAGGGGAGGCTCCCGCGCCCCCACCCCGCGCGCGCACCCTCGCGCCCCTCCCGCCGGGCACCGCGGGGCAGCGGCGCCGCAGCCTGGGCCGGCCGAGCCTCGCCGCTCCGGCTCGCGCCCCGCCGGCCTGTCGCCGAGTCGGCGTTGCGGGCGGCCCGGCTCCGCTCGGGGTAAGGAGGACGCCGCCGCCCGAGCCGTGTGGCCGGGGGCCGCGGGAGGCGCCCGCCGCCGCCGCCGCCGCCGCCGCCGCCGCCGCCGCCGCCGCCAGGGCCGGCCCGGGGCCCCGCGCCCCACCGAGGGGCGTGCGCGTCGCCCGCGGCGAGGCCGGGCCGGGCCGGGCCGGGCCGGGCCGGGCCGGCCGGGGGGCGGCGGCGGTTAGGAGTCGCCCTCGCCCGGCGCCGGCTCTTTCTCTTTCTCTTTCGCCGCCGGGCGCGCGCTGGGCTCCCCGCGCGAGGCGCTGCCCCACTTGTCGCCCACTTCGGACGGGCGTGGCGGGCCCCGCGCGGGGCCGCTCCGGGCCCCGGGGCCGCTGGGCCAGGGCGGTCGGCGCGGTCGCCTGGGCGGGGAGGCGCCGCGGGCCGAGCGGCCGGGCCGGGACTCGGAGCTCCCGAGCCGCCCTCCGGCCCGCGGGCGCCCGGCGGCGGGCGTTTGGCTTTTGTTTCCTCGCGGGGCGGGCGTCCCCGGCCTCCCCGCCCCCCGCCCCCCGCCCCCCGCCGACAAGTGTCGCGCGCGCTGGGACCCGGCCCGGCCGACACCCCCGCGGGCGCCCCCTCCGCCCTCCCGCCTGGCGTCCCGGGTGCTGCCCTCCAAGTTCTGCGGGGCCCCGGCCCCCGGTCCCCGCCCCCGCCCCGGCCCCCGCCCCGGCCTGAGCGGAGGAAGTGCGCGCCGGGGACGCCTCGCGGGTCGCGGGCCGCGGGCGGTTTAACCAGCTCGGCCCCGAGCCCGGAACTGCGCGGGGCGGCTGCTGCGACCCCCCCCCACTCCCCCCCGGCCGGCGTGGGCCGCGGGGAGGCCGCCGCCCTGGGGCACCTGCGGGCTGGGCGCAAGCCTCCCCTCCCAGGTGGGAGGATGGGGGGGTGTCCCCTGCCTTCTGTGCCCCGCCGTCCTAGATTAAAGCCCACGGGATGTACTTAATTTCGTGTATGCCGTTACCCGCTTAGAGGGCTGTTCTGAAACTGTCCACGCCTGGAGGTGGAAACTACACAAAAGGGAGGTCTGGTCGTTGGTACTGCTGGGGCCCCAGCGTGCGACAACCCCCGTGAAGTCAGTCAGTCTGGCCACTTTCCTCTGCCGGCGCGTTTGCACGCCCAGTCTCCGCGAGCCTAGTGGCGTGGGTCTCCCGGAGCGGGGCCCGCTGTGGAGCTGTCCTGGAAGTTGCACGGGGCAGCCTCCAGTTTGAGTCCTTTGCCTAGTCCTTTGCCTAAGTAAGTGTCTCCGGGTGCTCTCGTCCCCTTGAAGCAGGTGGAGTTTGTTCTTGATAATAGACCACGACAACTTCAATTTCTGCCCATGGTACCCTAGAACCGGGAGAAAGTTTTTTTTTTTTTTAATTTTATTTATTTATTCATTCATGAGCAGAGAGAGAGAGAGAGAAGGAAGCAGGCTCCATGCAGGGACTCGATCCTGAGTCTCCAGGATCACGCCCTGGGCCAAAGGCAGGCGCTAAACCGCAGAGCCACCCAGGGATCCCATGGGAGAAAAGATTTCAGGAGCATCCAGGTGGATTGCATTCTGCTATACCCCACAGGGAGTGTAATTGTTAGGTAGGAAAGATGAGCTTAAAACTGCTGTTGGTTATGCAGTCAGATTGGGAGGTGCATGGATGAGTTTGTATCTCAGGCCGCCCCTGACTTTGGAACTCTTCATTCAACACTTTGTGGGACAATGTTGGTCTACCTCTATGATGACCTCTCCATCTGCTTTCTGAGAAAGGATATTGGTGGGAGGGTGATCTGGTGAAGATAGAATTAAGGAAAACTAAGGAACTGTCTTAACTTTTACCTTAAGGAGAAGTGTGTTTTTAAGTTCATTATAAGAATTCTAGGTGAGCTCCACCATCTGCCTACGTGTTTCATTGCAATACTAGGTGATTTGTATCTTTTTTAAGATTTTTATTTATTTATTTTTTAGGTGATTTGTATCTTTACTTTTCTTAAATTTCAATTGTCATTTGCACAATGAACCATTTACCATATATGTTCATGCATTTGTAGGACACACCACTAAAAGGAGTTTTTTTTTTTTTTTAGTGCATTGAGAGAGAAAACATGCAAACTCAACGTTTGTGAAGGAAATGATATGACAGGAACTAATAAATAGGATTCGAGACTAATAAAACAGTCTAAAATAAAATACCGTTAGTCTGAAACAGAGTGGTCAGAGGGGGTCTGGCAAGGAAATGCTCTTTGGGGTCTGGAGTAATCAGAAAAGAACACAAAGAGAGTTGAGTCTCTGACTGAGTCTTGAGGAGTGGATCTTCCACAGATTGACAGGGTGATGGCAGTAATTGGGGGCCTAAGAGGGAGAAGGGAGTTGCATGCCTCAAAAGAAATGATAATTTGTTTAGGACTAAGAAAAGTTATTGTAGTGTCCACACTGGGAAATGTTGTAAATGTTTTTCCCACCCGCCCTTACCTTCCCAAACTAGAAACCTTTTATTTTTCACGATCCGGTGTAATTCTTCCTCTACGAAGGCATCCCTGATTTTTGCGCCAGACTTGCTTTCTTTGACTTTTACTTTTCCTGGTTCACCTATAAGTGCATATGTAAAAACAGCTTTTTTTTTTCTTTCTGATGGCCCAGGCTTTAGATTTTGCCATTTCCTATTTTATTATTTTTTAAAATTGAGATATAGGGATGCCTGAGTGGCTCAGTTGGTTGAGCATCTGCCTTTGGCTCAGGTTGTGATCTTTGGATCCTGAGATCAAGCCCCACGTCAGGTTCCCTCCTTAGCGGGGAGTCTGCTTCTCCCTTTTTGCCTTTCCCCACCACTCACTCTCTTAAATAGGTAAAATCTTTTTTTAAAAAAATTGAGATATAATTGACTTATTAGTTTCAGGTGTACAGCATGAAGATTTGATCTATGATTATTACAATAATTCTAGTTAATATCCATCACCACACAGTTATAACCTTTTTTTCTTGTCAAGAGAACTTTTACAATCTATTGTCTTAGCAACTTTCAAATATACAATATTGTTAACTAGTCCCTACTAATGATAAGTCATCAAAAAAGTTTTATATATTTTTCACAATTAGCTTCTGTTTTTAAGTAATATATTGTGTAAGGATATGAACAAGTCCTTAGTTCTCTTTTTATTCGGAATATTTTTGCACTGTAGTTATAGCTTTTTAACTTAAATGATAATAACCTTTCAGGCCCGGTATGTTATCTAACAAGTGGTTAAGTGCATAGTCAACAGATATTTGTAGGACTAAATCCCTGTGTGAGTGGACAGCTGCTGAGCAGAGGCATGGGGTGATAAAAGCAGCAGTCAGGAACATCATTCTGATTATGAAGGAAGATTTGCAAGTGGAAAGCTCTGGAGTCCTTACTTGTTTTTTTTTTATTTTTTTATTTTTATTTTTTATTTTTATTTTTATGATAGTCACAGAGCGAGAGAGGCAGAGACACAGGCAGAGGGAGAAGCAGGCTCCATGCACCGGGAGCCCGATATGGGATTCGATCCCGGGTCTCCAGGATCGCGCCCTGGGCCAAAGGCAGGCGCCAAACCGCTGCGCCACCCAGGGATCCCTGGAGTTCTTACTTGTGAAGAAGAGGGAGACCTGAAGCCCCTGAGGGAGAGGGCTGTATGGGAAGTACTAGGCCACCCAGTCTGACCAGGGAAGCAGAAGGAGCCCCAGCTTCTCTACTCCCACTCCATTCCTTCATCTGTGTCTTTAGTGCCCCTTCTATAGAGCTGAAGGAGAGTTTGAAAATCACAATTAGATAAGCATTCCTTGTTTCAATCAAGTATTTTAATCTGGAAAGAGTGCTGCTGTGGAAATGGAGAAATTAGCAGGAGAGCCAGGTAGGGGGTTTGAGAGTAGGGTGGGACGGATAAGTTCAGTTTTTAAAATACTGAATTGAAAGAGACACTAAAGTGGTGGGTCTGGAGACAGGAACTCTGATGTTAGGCCAAGAGAAAGCCAGCCGGGAAATATTCAGCTGGAATGGGGGTGGCAGTAAAAATCATGAGACAGTGGAGGGGAGAGCAGGTCTGTGACTAGGGGCTACATCTAGGGATGGTGTCATTGAGAGAAACCAAGAAATGGTCAGGAGGAGGAGGAAAACCAGGCATCGTAGTAATAGGGAAGCCAATGGAAAAGGTTCCACAGGAAACTCCGTGTTAAGTCTCGTCTTTTGCTGATGAAAAACCAAACAGAAGGTGTGGTTGAAGTTGGCTGGCAAGAGGTGATCTCAGTGGTAAGGCTTAAGTATGAGCTGTCAGTAATGTTTGCTCTGGGTTTTAGGTATGTAGATGTCTCCTTAATTTGAACAGTGTTTTGTAGTTTCCAAAGCATTTCTACCTTGTAGTATTGGTAAACATTTTGAGCATAGTTTATTAATTAAAGCAACGTACCTCCAAGTGAAAAACCGTTTAGATTTATTAAAAAACCAAGGGGGCTGTTCACATACTCTGACGGCAAGTAGTATAAATATAGATAAGATCTTGTATTTTAGCAAAATAAAGCAAAAACAATGAATTAGAACATACTCGGGCAAAATGAAACTCTTCGGTTCATTCACGCATGTGATATTATCTTTTGTTTAAACATTTGCACTACTTTTTTTTTCTTTTATAAAGTAGTGCCTTAGAAGAATTTATCTCTGTTTTTATTTTGCAAATACGAAAAAAAGTTCTCCACAGTAGCAATGGAAAAATGAGACGTTTACTCTGATCCTGTCAGCTGTCTCTGCTCTGCTCCCCTAGTCTGTGTGTGCCTTTTGGGGAAGATGTCACTGCATTAGGGCCCCAGCTCAGTGTCACCTGCTGAACCTTTCTTCATTTTGTATTGATTTCAGCTCACGTGTGAAGTGTTCTCTTAATGAAGCTAGACATTGTAGAGAATGCTTATGCATCTCTCATGAAGATGGACTTAAATGATGAAAGTGTGGTCACTGCCACAATTAATAATTGATTAATAAATTGTTTGGAAAGTATCAGGT